GTCTTCTGTTCTCGGCTCCAGTTGTGAGGCTGAGATCTACGCAGGAGCCATGGCTGCACAGGAGCTTCGCTGGCTCACCTACCTGCTGACTGACCTCGGAGAGCTGCCTCGTTCTCCTCCAGTGCTGTACGTAGACAACAAGGCCATGCTGGCCTTGTGTCGGGAGCAGCGACTGGAGCACAGAACGAAGCGCATTGCTCTCCGCTACTTTCTTGCTCGTGAGCTGCAGCAGCGTGGTCAGCTGCGTCTTGCGTACGTGGCCTCTGAGGCCAACACTGCTGATATCTTCACCAAGGCGCTTGCGCCTTGTGACCATCAGCGCTTCTGTACTCAGCTAGGCCTTGTGCCTACCTTGCCTCACTTGCTCACCTCTTGACCTTGCTTGTGCTGTTACATATATATATACCTGCTCTTGCTTGTCTAGCCTTTATATATATATGTACTCCTGCATGTGAACTGGCCTTGTGGCCTTGAACTTGTGCTCGGAATGTGTGGTGACTTTGTGATCCACCCTGAGCTTGCTTTGCTTTACTTTGCTTGACTGGTCTTGTGACCCCTTGTTCTCCCCCACTTTGCCTATGGGGGTGTGTCAGAATATTATAGCTCATGCATATTGTGTAGGCTATAGTGGGGTAGCCCATAAGGGGTACAACCCAATTAGGGTTAGCACTTGTACCCAATTCATTCATAGTTCATTCATTCCTTGTTTCTTCTCACTTTCTTATAAAGCAAGATGGTAACCGCTTCCTTGACGCTTGCAGGGAGTGAGGCCGATTCTGAGAAACTTTTCGCCATCTTCAGGAACTCTCCCCCCAAGACATCCCAGTTCTGCTCGAAGAGCTCTTTCGGAAGACCGTCTCTCCCGGGCGATTTGTTGTTTGCCAAGGCTTTGAAAGCTTGTTTCACCTCCTGCTCCGACCAGTCCGCCTCCAGTGCCGCCGCTGCGTCAGAGCCCAGCTTCTTCCCCGGCAATAGTTTCCAAATGGCCGTCGTCGAGCGACTGTCCGATCCAAAAAGGTCTGTGAAATAGTTGGTGGCCGCCGTCAGAACTTCTTTGGAATCTGTCACCGTCACACCGCCTACTGACAGCTCTGCAATCTGTGTGCGCTGCTTTCTGACCTTTACCCTCGCTGACAGGAAAGGGGACGGCACCTCTCCCGCCAGTTCAATGTTCGTACCCGCCATCAGATGAAGTCTGTCCCGCTTCGCCGCATGGTATTCCCGCAGCTGCGTCTCCCTGACCAACAGTAGATCCCTAGCGCGCTGGCAGCTTGGGTTCCGCATTTGCTCTTGCCGAAGCTCCGCCACCACGTCTGCCAGATGCGCCGTGGTCTTTTTGACCCTTTTCCTCTCCTCCTTCATATACGTCCGCAGACCCGCGTTAAGTCTGCCCAGCAATAGCTCAAAATCCTCCTCGCCACTTGCCTCTGCCTTGGCAAGCGCAGCTTCCACCGCTTTCCTGACCCCTGGCCTGCCGATGGCTGCAGCATGCAGTCTCCAGATTCCGGGGCCCAGGTGAGAAGTGGCCTTTACCTTGAAAGCAACTTTAATAGCGAAACCGTGATCTGAGATGTACTCCTCTGGCATGGTATGTGCGGCTATCTCCAGGTGCGGAAGTAAGGAGCAAGAGACGAGCGCGCGATCTATCCTGGAGCTAGACTCTTTGGAGGCGGAGTAGAAGGTAAATTCCTTCAGCTTTGGATGCAGTGTGCGGAAAGCGTCCGAGAATTGAAAGCGGCTACATCGCGAGATAAGTCTGTCGTTTTCTAGTGACGATCCTGACTGTGATGTCCTGTCTAAAAACGGGTCTTCCACTGTGTTCAGGTCCCCGATCAGGACAACGTGCGCTGTGGGTGGAACAAGATCTATGGCGGGGCCGATGACATTGGCTAAAAAGGAGCTACGATCAGTTGCGTCAGCAGGGAAGTATGTGGCTAAAAGAGTTAAAGTGAGACCAGGCCGACTGACTTCAGCGGTTATCAGTCTGCCAGAAGGGTGAGTGGAGATCTTATGTATGGTGATAGATGGGTTCCTGGTGAGCACCGCCACACCTCCCGCTTTAGCAGTTGGGGGGGTGGTTAGGACTGTGGAGAAAGAGGTTGTCTTCCAGTAAGGATGGTCGTCAGGCAGTCTGGTGTCCGAGAGAATCAGTACGTCTGCTGCTGTTCTTGTCCATGAGGTTACTCTAGATTGCTTTGTCAGATCGCCAAGGCCGTTGACATTCAGGCCTGCTTAGGAGAAGAAGTTTTTGTTACTCATTTATTCACCATCTGGCAGCCCCGCTTCATCCACAGGCTGGTAACGAGAACTACTCCAACAACGGGCACCCAAACGGCTATTGCAATGAAAACACCCTGCTCGGCTCGACTCAGACCCCATACTCCTTCTACAGATTGCTGAGGATCATCTTGTCGAGTGTGAACTTGGTCGCAGTACCCAGCTTCTCCAGGTTCAGCAGATGAGATGCAGATGCAATGTGGTCTGAGGCAGCCATGAAAGTTTTCCCTTTTGCTTTCCCGCAGCAGACTTGCGTGCAGATCCACTCTTCGCGGTTCCCACCGGTGGAGATAAGAGCAACAGCAGGATCTTTCAGAACGGGGGTGATCAGTGCGGAAGTACGCAAGGAAGCAGCTGCGACAGCAAGCAGATTCGTCAGTAAGCGTAAGAAAGGGAAAAGGTGAGTCGTGAGCTGTAAACTGAACCGTGCAGTTACCGTTGATGCGATGGATATTTCCCAAGGTCAGTGACCACTTCCCTATATTGTTCTGTCTCTCGGTGACGAACAGATCATGATAAATCTCATAATGCTGTCCGCCGCAGAGAGAACAGGACAACTCAGGATAGTGAACCAGCAGCTTCGCGCCGACCTCCAGTGGGTTGTCAACAATATGGCGCCAGCGGTACCGGTCCCCAGGGTGCTGAATGACCAGTCCCTTCACCACATCAGTGTCTGCGCCGGTCAGCGGGTGAGCCACTCGATGGAAGCAGAAACCGTCCTTGAAAGCCGACTGCTTCCTCATCTTAAGCTTGAAACGGACAAGAAGATCTTTAAGCACTTCAGGTACAATGTTAGCAGGGACCCGCTTAAAGAGAACTTCAATCGCGAGCGGATTAGACGACTTCTCCCTGAGGTAAGAGGAGTCCTCAGTATGCTGCCAGAGACACTTCACCGACGGGCCGTTCGTTTTCTGATATTCGAAGGTATGAAACTTGATGTGATGTGCGTCACGCTCGTCGAGGAAAGAAATCTGAAGACGGCAGAAGCGAGTCTTGGCCACATAACCAGGTGACATCTCCTGGATATTAGCAGTGACTCCCGCATTCTCTGTAAGTGAACTGCTCCAGACCTTCTTCATTAGAACACGGAGTGCAGCAATGATAGCTTTAACATCCTGAGACAGCGCCATTGGGATCAGAAGGATTGCAATAAAGCGAAGACGGAAAGCAGCCTCTTTTGCAATGTCAATGTCGAGTTCCTCATCCGAATCATCCTCCAGGAAACCCTCAACCGATCCTCCTGCGACTTGCTGCATGCTCGTCTTTTCTTCCACAGTTAAACCAGAGCAGCCAGCGATAGCAGCATCGACAGCAGCAGCAGACGGGAGGGAGACGTTAACCGCATCAATGTTGTCCGTGCTTCCAGAACCATTCTTCCCCGCAGGTCCCGAAACAGCGATCTTGTCAGTCCGCGGGACATTTACTCCATCAGGAGAGACAGGAGAGTCAGGCGACGGCACGTCAGGAGAGTCAGGAGCAGGCGGCGTGACCTCAACAGGAGCCTTCGCTGGACGACCCTTAGGAGGCATGGTGCAGTGATGAAACCAAAAAAGCAGCAGTCGTGATGGAAAAAGCTTCAGGATGGGAATAATGAACACAGAAACTTGAGCTGCCAAGAAACTGAGCACCACCTCCTTAAATAATATCCCGAAAGCTCGGGCTCTGATTTCCTGAGCGATGTGCTGAGTTCCCGCTGTTGAGACCTTGGGATCATGAGCAGCCTGATCCAAGTTGTAACTCTGATCTTGTAAATTGCAGCCTTGGTATTTGTGTGCGGAAAAAACCTTGACGTCATTGTTGAAATCAATGTCTTGAAGCCTAGGTAATAATTGATCTTGATAAAACGTTGAAACAGTGAGCCTGACCCGAGTAGCTGAAGATAAAATGTCCGCGGGATGGACACGATAAATATATCTTCTGCTTCGCAATGCACTCAGGAATGTAGAACTGTGCTCATTGTTACCAACTAATAGGTAACCTTCACGTAACAGGCTTCCGAAGTTACGCGGAGGAATCCATGGCGGCATCTCTGTCGGAATTCTCAGGATGGGGCCGAACGTTCTTGAGAGGCTTTCGTCAATCGCAACAGACCAGCACTTAGTCAGGGTATTGTGACAAAACATAGGTAAGGGTCAGCAGCTTCGACGTACATTACCAGTTAACGAGAAACTTGTTTAGAATGCCGAAGCAGCTTATAAAAGGCTTCCACTCCCCAAGCCCACATCCAAACCAGACTCTCCCAACAACCCGCATGAAGCACTGCACAGGGTGATGCATTCTGGAGAACCTTTTTTCTATCGCGTGCGCCGGCCACGACCAATGTCACCGTGATTAGCGGTGAATCACTGACGTCGATCTCGTGGCGCCAACTTCTCTCTGGTAGCTGCGAAACGCCAACGCCACGACTCATCGGCTGTAAGACCTTTCATGGCCTTGCAGTAATCGGATGTAGTTATCTGACTTGAATCTACCGAGGTCACACGCGTCGAAGTACATTGCGCGAGGATCGTGGCCAGCCATTATGATCACCTTATTAGGTGTATGTTTATGATCCTTCGAATCGGTAGTGTCTAAGACTCCTAGATCGGCAACTGACGATCTCACGTCACCGCACGACACGATCGCTGCATTCGACAAAAACCTGAGCTACGGGTAACTCCTAACCGCATCCAGTTGTTTATTCTCCCTCACCCTGACCCACTCGCTCGCACTCGTTCGTCGCCATGCGGGAGGCTAAGCGCATAGCGGCGTCGCTGCTGTCGCCCGGCAATCCCCGGGCGCTGCTTTTCCTGCAGCTGCTGCTCGTCCTGCCGTGCGTCGTTATCGTCACGCTGCTGTTTTCCATCCCGCGCGCCTACAAGCCATCCAAGCCCGGCCTCATCTCGCAGCGCTTCGCCGCCATTAACGCCGAGCTATCCACCGTCGCCGTGCCGGCCGCTGCCGGCGGCGGCGCAGACGGCGACGGCGGCGGCGGAGCCGCTACGGCCGGCAACGCCGCCGCAGCCGCCGCCGCGGCGCTGGCGGCGAAGCAGCAGGAGCCGGTGCGGGCGATGGACGTACACGTGGCAGTGACGGACACGAAGGCGACCAAGGCGGAGGCTGCGCGGAAGCAGGCCCAGGCGGAACAAGCGCGCAAGGCGCGGCTGAGCGCGCTGGTGCGCGGCAAGACGTCGTGCGGATGTTTCCAAACGATCTCAGGCCCGGGCGGCGCCTTCCACGTAAGGCCGCCCCTTTCTCCTCTCCTTTCTCCCTTCTATCCCCCCCACCCCCTCTCTCTCTCCCACGTCTTCCCCCCTATCCGTCCCACCCCCCTCTCCCTCCACTATTTCTCCCCGCGTATCCCCTCCGCCTCAATACCAACCAAGAGCTGTCGGTAGAGTAGAGTGCAATCATAGCCCTTTTAGGGAAAGTTTACAACGAGGATATATGGAAGCAGCCTTACTGATGGGTTCATTCAATCCAAACGCGATTAGTTTACAAAACATGGGGCAGGGACGACTTACCAAATTTTCCTGCTACCTGTATTTCTGCCTGGACTGAAAACACCCTCATTTCTTCCCCTCTGCAGCTTCCCGCACCCTCTCTTCTCCCCCTCCATCTCTCCACCCACCCTTCCTACCACAGCGCAGACCTCTCAGCGCCACGCCACCCTCTCCCCCCCACCTCTCTTTTCTCTCCCCACCCCCGTCCTGACAAAAACTGAGGTGTGCCACCCTGAGCAGATTCCGTGCCAAGTCCGGCCAATTTCCAAGGCGTTTTAAGACACACGCTTGCCACCATTTATCTCCCGCTCCCCACCCCGCTCCGCCCCACCCCACTCCGCCCCACCCCACTCCGCCCCACCCCACTCCGCCCCACCCCGCTCCGCCCCACGCCCACCCCACTCCGCCCCACACCCCACTCCGCACACATGTCCATCTTGACTCGCTCCCCAAACCCCTTTCAGCTGCGTTTGCCTGATACTCCGTTGTCCTCGCTTTTTCCACCACTCACCTAGTACGCTTTCTTTCTGCGGACGAACAAGCCCCATCTCTTCTCTTGTGGCGAGACAGTGTGCTCTCCTGCCACACCGCCACTCACGCACACACCACACTCACCTTGCGCCCCCTCGTCCCTTGTTTCCCCGTCTTCCCCCCCTGCTCTTCACCCGTCTTCCGCTTCCCCCGCACGCACACCACCAGGTGATGTGCACGTGTCATCTCCTCTGACTTTTGAGACGTCTCAACTGCCCTTCTTCTTCCCCTTCCTCTTCCCGTTCCTTTTCCCCTTCCTTTTCCCCTTCCTCTTCCCCTTCCTCTTCCCCTTCCTCTTCCCCTTCCTCTTCCCCTTCCTCTTCCCCTTCCTCTTCCCCTTCCTCTTCCCCTTCCTCTTCCCCTTCCTCTTCCCCTTCCTCTTCCCCTTCTTCTTCCCCTTCTCTTCCCCTTCCCCCGCACCACCAGGTGATGTGCGCCTGCAATCTCCATTGACTTTTGGGACGTCTCAAATGCCTTAGATATATTCGATAATTGACACAACTCTTCCCCTTCCCCTTCCCCTTCCCCTTCCCCTTCCCCTTCCCCTTCCCCTTCCCCTTCCCCTTCCCCCGCACGCACACCACCAGGTGATGTGCACGTGCAATCTCCTCTGCTGGGACGGCCGACAGCTCATAGCACAAACCGCCAACCCGGAAGCCCCAATCCCCTGCAACCAGCTCACCTCAGACGTCTCCCCAGACGCACCAATGGTAGCCCTCAATTGCCAGGCCAGGATCAACGGCCAGCATCCGCTCGATCTTGTCCGGAAAGCCGGGGAATTCCGGCCGATCGCATCCCGACCGTCGGATTGGATCAGCACGAGGAAAGGGCCGGTGGCGTGGCGGCTTGGCAGGTCGTTTATCCAGAGAATGGAGGCTGGAACAGAGGACGTTTCGGCCTTTGTCGCGCGCTTCTTCCCCATTCTGCTCGTGAACAAAGCGACTGTTCCCGCGCTGCTGCCGCCCGTGCACCGGTTTGTGTTCCCCCGGGATTCGTACTATCGTGCTGTGCTCAAAGGGCTAGGCCCGGACGGGTTCCAAGTGGGTGTGCTGGAGCAGCTGCTGGGAGCGGCTTTTGAATCAAGCAGCGGGGGAAGTAACGGCTCTGCTGGTGGTGCTGCTGCTGGTGGTGTGGGTGGTCGTGCAGGCAGCAGGGATTGGGAGAGAGCTAACTTGCTCGATCCCCAGGAGCCGACGGTGCAAGGGCAGGATGGGGGAGAGGGAGCGGAGGGAGTGCGTGTGGAGGACGAGGAGGGGCGCAAGGTGGAGTTTGAGGGGCAGTGGGCGGCAGCCACAGAGGATGCTCCCATGTGCTTTGAGCATGTGGTGCTGCCGGGAGTGCTGGATGGGGTGATTTACCCATTGGGTCGCATTCAGGCAGAGATTTTCCTGCAAAAGGTGGATGCTAAGCTGGGAATATCCGCTGCTAATGCCGCCGCCGCCGCCGCTGCTGCTGCTGCTGATGATGATCCCACAGCACCGGCTTCAGCTGCTGCTCCGGCGTCCTCAGCTTCGGCCGAACCAGCAGCCGACGCAACCGGCGCTGCAGCCGTCTCCGCACCTACAGCCTCCCACGTGGTCTTTGTGCGGCAGGCAGACGCTGCCGTCCGTTCGATAGTCCCAGACACCCTCGAAACCCTCATCAAGAACCTCCAAACAAACCTCTCCTTCACCGTGACTGAAGCCGCCATGCGCGATACGTCCTTCTCCCGCTCCTACTCCGCTATCCGCAGCGCCGATATCATCCTGGGGCTTCACGGGGAGCAGCTTGCAACCGCCGCGGCGTTCGCCACCCGGGAAACCCCTGTCATAGAGATCATGCCGTTCCATGTGTACTCGCCTCGCTTCGAGTCCCTCGTGCTGTCTTCCAGTCTCCCGTATTTCCAGCACCAGTGTCACCCCGGCCCCTTCTGGCCGTTCAACCCTGCTGCTGCCGATGCTGCTAAGCGTCCGCCTGCCACAGCGAGCCAGGGGCTGCCTGCTGCGGTGATAAACGAGATAAGAACGTGGGCAGAGGCCGATGTGGCTTTCCTGAATGTGACTGTAGCGGATTGCTTTGTGGAGAGTATAACGGGGGCGGGGGGAGTTGCGGCGCTGGGGTGCCGGAAGCATTTTCTCAAGGACCGGCCGGTGAGACTGTGGGAGGAGGATATTGCGGGGATCTCCCTGCTGGTGTCCTTAGCACGGAATATCTCTCAAGCTGCAGCCACGGGAAAGAGCATTGTTCAGGCGGCCCATTCTTCTTCCTCTTCTTCTTCTTCCTCGTCTGCCGGGGCTGTTGAGCACTTGAGTGCGTCTGGGGAATCGGCAGTGGGGGCAATGATGCATGGGGAGTTGGAGGGGGCGTGTGTGGGGCGTGGGTTGGACCTAGGGTATTGCCGGCAGGACTTTGTGCAGCTGCCTTTGGGGAGTGGAGAGGTAGTGCTTACATCGGCACGTGGAGGAGGGTCAGGGGGTGCGAGTGGGGGTGTGGGGGATGCTGCTGCTGCTGGTGCTGCTGCTGGTGCTGTGAATGGGACTGAGTGCGTGGTGGCGAGGAAATGTTGGAGTTCCGAGGGGTGGGTGCAGGCAAGGTAGGGGAGGAGAAGGAGCATCTAGGCAAGTAGAGAAAGTGCGAGCTGATAGGATTCTGGACGGTGGAGGAAGTGTAGGGTTCATTCAGGGGCATGGGCCTCTGATTTCGTTACAACTTCCGGATACAGTACAACAAATTGGAATTGGCTTCTTACGGTAATATCGACGTGACACACGCTTGTTGTTGATAATCCTACGGGGGTGGTCGGGTCGTGTGTGGCAGTGGCACAGTGGGTTACTGTAATGCAGGAAGGAAGCCTGTGATGTGACGTGTAGCCTGCTGCAACGTTAGGCCAGCGGCTCACCCAGGTCAAGCCTTCATTACAGTAATATCAGCCCTTAACAGTATGTATGCAAATCTAAACTTCTAGAACGGCATTTTACTCAATACCCTGGTACTACTACACCTACGAAAATTTGAGCATAAAAAGCGCATTTAGGTCATCAGGCAGAGCCTGGATGTGGATGCAGTTATGGTAATTGAGTTTCCTCAGTCTTCTAAGCTGAGCGAAACCAGGAGGAATCAGCCTGATTCTGGTGTGGCTGACATCCAGCTCACACAGGCAGGATAGCTGTGTGAGAGAAGCAGGGAGATGCGTGAGGGTTGAGCAGTAGGATAAGTTGAGCTTGCGTAGTCTTGGGAATGACCCAATGGCGTCCGGAAGTGAGGATAGCTTCGGCGCGAGGATCTGGATGGATGTGAGGCGGTGGAGAGCGGTGATGGCCGCAGGCAGCTCTGTGAATTCCTCTCGCCAAGTGGTGAGGTTCAGCTGCCGTAGCTCCAGCAATCCCCAGCCGTCGGATCCCACCAGATCGTTAACACTGCGAATCTCCTTGAGTGTCAGGGTGCGCAGGCCAGGCAGCGTTTTCAACGCCGGCAGAGCCTCCCCTGCCTCTTCTCCCAGAACCAGCTGCAGGTGCGTCACACCGGAGAGATACTCACAGATGGTCTCAACACAGGCTGCACCCGCACTGCCCAGGCACAGATCCTTCAGCGCTGTGAGTGCTGAAATGTCCGGCAGCGAACCCCCCTGCTGGTTGTTCTCGTAGGAGAGGACCTGCAGGCTGAGAGGCAGAGCCTCAGGGGCTTGGCATCCAGCACTCCCTTAGCTCTAACTGCGTGAGCCGGGTTAGGCTGTCCAGCCTCCTGGGAACCGAGGAGAGAACTGTTAGAGTAGGGTGGTAGGGATGATGTTGACTATCGAGAAGTTTGGTACAAAGGTAAAACCTAAGGGGTTGTACCCCACAGTGAGTACCCCACTAAAGCCTACCTAAACTATAATATATAAACATATGTTTGACACACCCCCATAGGCAAAGTGGGGGAGAGCAAGGGGTCACAAGACCAGTCAAGAAAGGCAAAGCAAGCTCAGGGTGGATCACAACGTCACCACACTCACTGAGCACAAGCAAAGGGCCACAAGGCCAGTTCACATGCAGAGGCATATATGTAACACAAACATCACAGTGATCTCTACCTAGCAAAGCAAGCATGCAGGTATATATATATAGATCACAGTACAAGCAAGGCCTACAGCAAGTGAGGAAAAGTGGACACAAGCCCTAGCATAGTGCAGAAACGCTGATGAGCACCAGCCTGAAGTGCCTTGGTGAATATATCAGCAGTGTTGGCCCGAGTGGCCACGTAACGCAGACGAAGCTGACCACGCTGCTGCAACTCTCGAGCCAGAAAGTAACGCAGAGCGATGTGCTTCGTTCTGTGCTCCAGTCTGTGCTCCTCACACAAGGCAATGGTAGCCTTGTTGTCGACGTACAGCACTGGAGGAGAACGAGGCCGCTCTCCCAAGTCAGTCAGCAGGTAGGTGAGCCAGCGTAACTCCTGTGCAGCCATGGCTGTGGCGTAGATCTCAGCCTCACAACTGGAGCTGAGAACTGAAGACGAGCGTGTAGAACGCCACGAAACTGAACCAGAGCCAAGGCTGAAGGTGTAACCCTGTGACGACCGCTGTGTAGCCTGGTCGTCAACCCAAGAAGCGTCTGAGTGCCCAGTGAGAACAACTGAGCTCCTCCCTCCAAGCACGAGCCCCATGCCTGATGTACTGCACAAGTAGCGCAGTACCCTCTTAGCAGCATCCATGTGCACCTTTCGGTGCCGACCAGGAGCCACGTAGCGAGCCAGAAGGCCAAGAGGGTACGCAAGGTCAGGACGAGTGCAGGTCATCAGGTACATGAGGCAGCCAACTAGCTCTGGGTAAGGACCACTCGGCTCTACGGACTCGTCCGAAGGTGGAGCTGAGAGCGAGTGACCTGTAGCCAGAGGAGTGGCCTGTGCCGAGGACCAGGTGAAGCCGAAGCGCTGAAGGACCTGCTGCACCATGTGTGACTGAGTCAGTGTGATGGTGCGGCGTGCTCTGTCCCGGGTGATCCGCAAGCCAAGATAGCTTGTCAGCTCACCCAGGTCTGTGCACGTGTGTCTCTTCTGCAGCTCCGACTTCAAGTGGGTGAGAGCCTCAGCGTCAGCAGTGGCAAAGACCAAGTCGTCGACGTACACGAGGATGTAGAACGGCGGCAGCGAAGTGTCGGTGCGTAGAAACAGCGACGGGTCAGCAGTCGACGGAGCAAACCCAAGAGCCGCAAGTGTCGTCCTCAGTGTGTCGTGCCACTCACGTGGCGCCTGGCGGAGACCGTAGACCGGCCGCCTGAGGCTCCACTGGGTACCAGGAGGGAACGACCCAGTGAAGCCAGGTGGGCAGCGCAGCCAGATCTCCTCGTGCAGGCTGCCCTGTAAGAAGGCTGTGCTGAAGTCAAGAGAGTGAAGCTCGTAGTCACGCTGAGCGGCAACGTGCAGCAGCACCCGAAGAGTGGTCATCTTCGGGGTGGGGGAGAAGGTCTGAAAGAAGTCTACTCCCTCTCGCTGACTGAAACCTCGTGCAACGTAACGCGCCTTGAAGACAGGCGGAGAACCTGGCGGCCGCTTCACCCTGAAACTCCACATGCCACTGACGATGTTCGCCCCAGGTGGGGGAACCTCGTCGACGTAGGTGCCTGTGGACTTCCAGGATGCCATCTCTGCGTCCATGGCTGTCTGCCACTGAGAGGAGTACTCACCCGCGATCGCCTCAGCGTAAGAGCGCGGGGTCGGGATGTCTGGAGCATCCGGGTCTCCCTCAGGGGCAAGCAGCATGGACACGAGATGAGGCGCAGCGGCTGCAAGACACTCAAGGTCCTCAAGGACGTCCGTGCCAAGAGCACACTCACCCCCGACGGACGGAGGACAGACAGACTCAGACTCAGCAACAAGACTAGCGGCGTAGTCTAGACGACAGGCAGCAGCAAAGTCAACAAGCTCAGCAACTAAGGCAGACGTAGTAGCAGACTCAAACGACGGGTCAGTGACAACAGTGGCTAGCAGACGCGTAACAGTAGGGTGCTCAGCATGAAACCGGTCAGACTCGGGGTCCGCAACGACAGGCAGAGAAGACGCAGGAGGGGACGGCAGAGGAACACGCTGTGGAGGAGAGGAAAGACGACGGACTACGAGGTGGGTGTCGGGGACAGCCGGCAGACGCGGACGAGGAACACGACGACCGGAACGACCAGAACAGACAGGCGAGACAGGACGCGACGCAGGCTCACGACGCTCAGTAAGACTCCCTAGCTGCTCAGTGTAAGGAGAAGGAGCAGGCAGCGGTGAACCAGGCTGCAACGGAAGACCAGTAGAGGAAGGGAGACTAAGAACCTGGTGAAGCACAGAGTCAGGCGGTGGCTGAGACGACGGAGACGGTGGAGCGAAGATAAGGCGCGGCTGTGCAGCGACACCAGCACCAGCAGCTCCAGTACCCCCAGCAGCTCCAGAAACTCCAGCAGCTACAGAACCTCCAGCGCCAGCTCCTCCAGGACCAGCTCCACCAACAGCAGCACCCCCAGAACCGGCACCTCCAGTCCCAGGGTCTCCAGCCGCAGTGCCCTCAGACTCAGCACCTCAAGCCCCAGCAGCTCCAGTACCTCCAGTACGAGCACCTCCGGGACCAGCATCACTCCCAGCTCCAGTGGCGACAGCAGAAGTACCTCCAGCGGCAGAGCCCCGAGCTCCAGAAGCGCGACCCTGACGGCGACCGTACCAGTCGTGCAGCTGCTGCGAGGTGACAGGCACACGCGGACGAAGACGGCTACTCCAAGGAAGCCGCGCAACAGCAGACTCAGAACCCTCAGCGCCAGAACCCGCAGCAGCTCCAGAACCTCCAGCGCCAGCACCCTCAGCAGCTCCAGAACCTCCAGCTCCAGCGTCACCAGCGCCAGTCCCTCCAGCAGCTCCAGAACCTCCAGCGCCAGCACCCTCAGCAGCTCCAGAACCTCCAGCTCCAGCGCCCTCAGCAGCTCCAGAACCTCCAGCAGAAACAACTCCAGTGGCAGAGTCACCAGCTCCAGCGCCTCCCGCAGCAGGGCCCCTAGCTCCAGCAGCGCGACCCTGACGGCCAGCGTACCACTCAAGCAACTGCTGTGGGGAGAGAGGGAGTCGACGACGAGAGTGCAGCGGCGAGGCACCAGCGGAGCGACTACGGAGACGGCCGCTCCCGGGAGACTGCTCACCAGACGCCTCAGTGCCCCCAGGCTCAGCACACCCAGACCCCTCACACCCAGGCTCAGCACCTACAGTCTCCGCACCCCCAGGCTCCGCACCCCCAGGCTCAGCACCCCCAGGCTCAGCACCCCCAGGCTCCGCACCCCCAGGCTCAGCACCCCCAGCAGCAGCACCACCCTCAGCAGGACCTGAGTCACCAGTGACCTCAACCTGAGGAGGAGGGTCTACCTGAGACACACCTGAAGGAGCAGGACCGGGAGCGGGGAGGGGATCTACCTGGGGAGCACCTGGAGCGAGGAAGAGCGGCGGGGGGGGGAGAGGGGCAGTGCGGTAGGGGAAGAGACGGTAAAAGGGAACCGACTCGTCGAACGTGACGTCCTGAGAGGGGAAGACACGGCGCGAGGTGGGATGGTAAAACTGCCAACCAGGCGCGTCAGGGACGAAGCCAAGGAAGACACAG